TTAGTAGAGACAGGGTTTTGCTACGTTGGGCAGGCTGGTTGAATTCCTGACCTTAAGTGATCTGCCCATCTTGGCCTCCGAAAGTGCTGGTATGTTACAGGCATGAGCCACCTGAGCACATTATGACTTATGTTTTCAACTTATTACTGAGTCAGTAATTAACTCTTTCCCTTTAGAAACTGGAGTAAGTTTTTTTCTAAAACAAAAAAAAATTGATTAACAAATAGTTTACTTATCTGACAGTGCACCTAAAGATATGAAAGCCTGATCTTTTGTAGTTTTTGTCTGGCCAATTTTTGTTGGTAGAAATCTGACATTGTCTTGGCAAATTATTGTATAATTTGCTTAATCTTTTTCCATAAGTTGGCTATTTTGGTTGTTCCTTGTTTTCTTCTTTAAAGAGTACTTTTATAAATATCTCTGTACTTCATTCACCATTCAAAGAATTATTGAATTTATGAAAATAAATACAGTGAGATACAGATCTGTGAGATAAGAATCCTACCAGGCATTGTGAATACCACAGAGAACAAGGCAAAACCCCTGTCTTTAAGTTAACATTCTCAATTCATCATCACCCCCACTTCTTACCCGGGCCAGTCTGTTCTCCCAGATTTGCTGAATATTCTTTTGCCCAACTCAGAAATATTGGTATTAACTTGGCTTCTCTTTTTTTATCGTCTACAACTAGTAAATCATGAAAGCTCATCAGTTCTACCCTTTTTGTAGCTCAAATCAGTCATCACATTTCTCTGAATCTTTGACTGTTTTGCCTCCGTTCCCCATTGTAGCACACCGAGGTCACTGCAGCGGTCTCCTAATTGATCTGCCTCTAGTCTTGACCCTCCAGACTGTTCTCCACACTGATGTTGATTTTCACTACATTTCAGAGAGCTTTGCGGTTCCTTAAACCATCAGAGTCTATTGTCTTTTCTCTGTATTAGGAAAGAAAAGGAAACTAAAACTGCATTTATTAAATTGAACGAGTTGAGGCCTTCTATATGCAAGACATTGGGCTAAACTTTAGAAATCAAAGACACAGTTTTTCCCTTCATGGGAGTAATAGTCTGGTGTAATATAGATAGGCTATGACAATACAGAGGGGAGGGGAGATAGCCCTGTAAGAAACTCATCTGACATATCCAGCTCTAGTTTTCCTGGCTGTCACGAACACTGATTCTCCAGTCAAAAACCGGCTTGTTCGTTTTACTCAAGATTTATTCCAAGAAAGCATGAATACCAGGAGAGTAGGGATCATTTCATAGGCTGCACCACTATTGTAGCCCCTTTGTACATGGGAGGCACAGAGAGGTTAAATAATTTGCCCAAGATTACACACTGTTAGTGTAAGTAGCAGAGTAAGTGGTTTCAACCCCAGTTAAACTCCAGAGTTCTGACTATTGCATACTGTCTCTCTATGTTTAATTCTTTGAAGGAAACTTAAGCTTAATAGCTTAAGTTACTTGCTCAAGTCACACATGCTCCTAACAGGTAAGGATTATTCTCACATAGATAGCAGAGTCCAATGATTCCTAAACCTGGCTGGCTATCAAATTAAGCTGTGGAACGTTTTTAAAAATTACTTAGAAATTTTTAATACATCCACAGGTATTCAAAAGAGCATACAATAAAAAATACTGAATAGGCATGGGTATGAGAACCTTTATTTAAATGAATTTTGTTTCTGCTTCTGATATATGCAGCAGCCTTATTTCTATAATAGCACTGATTTCATGTACTTATTTTTTCAATAAAAAATTAAAATCCTCAGAGAATTTTCAAATGAATAATCTGCATTTTAATTATTTAAATATTCTTTTTTTGGTTGGGTGGGCCTTATATATTGATTTTTTTATTGGAAAAATCATTACAATGTGGACAATAGTTTTGATCCTTTTTAAATCAAATGCCGAATCTTGCTGCCAAAAAAACAAGTAATACCTCCTTTTCTCCTACTTTTCCCCGTCCCTTGGCCTCCCAAGACCTACCTCTGGATACAGCTACTGTTACCAGGATTTTTTGTTCAATCTTCTAGGAGTGTTCTACCCTGTAAAGCGTGTATCTGTGTATACACACATGAACATAAACAGGTAACAATTGGTAGCATTTAGACATACTATTTATCCCACTATCTTATCTTAACTATATCTTGGAGATTATTTTTTCTTGGTTCCTCCTATTCTTTTTAACTCTAGTACAGTCCAGGCTGCGGATCTCCCTAGTACCTTCTGATAAGCATGGGATGTGTTTCCAGTTCACTGTTAGAACAAGGCTGCAGTGACTTACCTTGTAGATACTTCCGAAAAAATCACACATATTGGTCTCTCTGTAGGACGTATTTCTAGAGGTGAAAATGCTAGGTCAAAGGGTATGTTCGTCTGTAACTTTTAATAGACATTGTCAAATTATCCTTCATATGGGTTGTTTTGCACTTTATACTCTCCCCAACAGTGTACAGAAGTGCCAGATTCCCTGTTATCCTCACAAGTACAGTGCACACTTTGCTTTCAGTTCATGGTATAGATAAAAAGAATATTTCATTTGCTGGTTTGGAGCATCAAATGTTGAAACATGGAAGGTTCTTTGGAGCGTCTTTTCATATGTCGCATTTCTGTCTACGTTTACTTTTCTGTAATATCCTTTGCTATTTTTTAATCAGGCTTTCTTTCTTCTTTTCTGGTAAATGTTCTTTTACACATTAAGAAAATTAGTTCTGTCTCTGAGACATGTTGCAGATATTTTTCCTAGATTGTCACTTGTCTTTGACTTCATTTATAGTAGGTTTTTATTTTTGCCATGCATTTAAAATTTTGTTACTTAAATGTATAAATATTTTCTTCCCATGGCTTCTAAGGAACTATTTTTAAAGGAGTAATAATTGTGATTATAAAGTAATATAAGTTTTGGTATATAGTATAAAAATGCCATACGCTTTAGGTGTAGGCAGGCCTTAATTCACATCTTAGTTTTGTCACTAATTAGGTGATGACCTCAGACAAGTTATTTAGCTTCCCTGAATCCATGGTTCATCAAATGTAATGTGAAAAATGAACCTGGTTCAAAAGTTTTTTTTGTTTTTCTGGTTGGAATTAAACAAGATAGTATCCTGATATATTTTAGACATGTAGTAAAACTGTCTTTTACTATGTTCTTAGATTTTATTTATTTATTTTTTTTTGAGACGGAGTTTCTCTCGTTACCCAGAATGTAGTGCAATGGCCCGATCTCGGCTCACCGCAACCTCCGCCTTCTGGGTTCAAGCAATTCTCCTGCCTCAGCCTCCCGAGTAGCTGGGACTACAGGCGCGCACCACCATGCCCAGCTAATTTTGTATTTGTAGTAGAGACAGGGTTTCACCTTGTTGACCAGGATGGTCTCAATCTCTTGACCTCATGATCCACCTGCCTTGGCCTCCCAAAGTGCTGGGATTATAGGCGTGAGCCACCGCGCCCGGCGTGTTCTTAGATTTTAAAAAATCAACCCTGTTATTCTATAATCAAACATTCTGTATTTTACATAGTTTGATTTTCAAAAACTTAGCAGGAAAATCTGTCAGTTAACAAAATACATATTGAAAGACTGTGATTATTTATTACAGTCTTTTTTATGTAAAAATTATGCTTGAAAAAAATTTATTTATGAATATACGTACTCAGGCCAGGCGCCATCATTCAATGCCTGTAATCCCAGCACTTTGGGAGGTCGAGGTAGGCTTATCATTTGAGGTCAGGAGTTTGAGACCAGGCTGGTCAACATGGTGAAAACCCATCTCCACTAAAAATAGAAAAATTAGCTGGGTCTAGTGATGCTTGCCTGTAATCCCAGCTACTTGGGAGGCTTAGGCAGGAGAATCACTTGAACCTTCGAGTTGGAGGTTGCATTGAGCTGAGATCATGCCATTGTACTCCAGCCTGGGCAATACAGTGAGACTCTGTCTGGAAAAAAAAAATGGAAAAGAAAAGAAATACTCAGTAAATATGCTAACCTAAAAAATGCTTCTCTCAATTATAACCATGCTTAAGGGTCTTTCTTTTTATACAAATTATTTTCTTAATTTGTGTTTTTTTCTGTTCTCATTAAAAACAAAAATCTTAAGCAGATGCCATTTCATTTTTTCTTACCAAGTAATAAACCAGATTAATTGAAAAGAGAATCTAAAGGTCAGTGCAAAAGCAATCACAGTTTTGCTATTGAAAGTAATGGCAGAATCTGCAATTATTTTTGCACCAACCTGATACCTATTCATGGATTTCATAATTAGTTTCTGTTTTCAAGTATAAATGGAAACCATTCAGAGGTGGGTGAATGCTTGTTTTGTTTTAACCATATTTGTGTCATTGTTACAGAATGTTTTTATTTAGTTAGTAATTTAGAAATGTGGGAGCCTTTTTAAAAATAGCTGTTACTTTGGAAAGCAGCATGAGACTCTGTCTCAAAAAAAAAAGAATGTAAATGTTTATCACATGCATGTATATTTATGTTTCTCTAGGGTGGCTTATCTGCATTCAAAAAATTTCAGTAAAGCAGATGTTGCACAGATGGTCAGAAAAGCACCATTTTTGCTGAACTTTTCAGTGGAAAGACTGGATAACAGATTGGGATTTTTTCAGAAAGAACTTCAACTTAGTGTGAAGAAGGTAAAGAAAAGGAGAGAATTTATTTATTTCCATGGCAGGTACATTTTAGTAGCTGGTAAATCTCATGTTCCTAACAGATGCCTGGCCCATGTGAATCCTATAAATTCCTGGTATTTTTTGTACAAAATGAATTATCCTGCTAATTTAAACATAAAACTACATCATTTTATAATACTTCATCAAGTTGGTTCCTTCAGTTTTTGTTTTCCTTTTTTTTCCCAAACGGTACTAACTTTATATATTCCTGGAGTTCCTATCATTTTTCTGATTGGATCATACACACACACACACACACACACACACACACACACACACATATGTATATATGATTGGGTTATATATATGACTCACTAGACCCATATATATATTTTACTTTATTTTATTTTTTGAGATGAGTGTTGCTCTGTTGTCCAGGCTGCAGTGCAGTGGCTCTATCTCAGCTCACTGCAATCTCCACCTCCTGGTTTTAAGCAATTCTCCTGCCTCAGCCTTCCAAAGTGCTGGGATTACAGGTGTGAGGCACGGTGCCCAGCCAGTTGGGTCATATTTTAAGTTTTAACTTTGTATCTTAGTAATGCCTTAATTTTCCAAACTAGTTAAATATGCACGTATAGTAACACTAGATTGTGTTGTTTGCAACCATAGACCAGAGATCTGGTAGTTCGTCTCCCAAGGCTGCTCACTGGAAGTCTGGAACCTGTGAAAGAAAATATGAAGGTAGGACTTTAGACTTTTGAGAAATCAGTTTCTTTAAGTGTTAAAATCCTCTGAGGAGAATAGATTTTGCGATTGTCATCTAAAGAAAACTAGACTTTAAAATAAGTTATTTCTAAAAAGAGAAATAGGCAGTTAACAAATGTCTAGCAAGCAGTTTGTTTCAGTTAATGTTTTCGCATGTTGACCAGGTGTTACGTGAGTAAATTACCTTGCAGACATTGACACCCGCCATCCTAAAGCAATAGATTAGGATATAAGTGGTGCCCTGAAACTGCTTCTGTTGCCAACATGGGAGTCTGACATCTTTGTTACCTGGGTAGTGTTACCAGTCTATGAAACTACTCCTGTTGCCCAGCATGACAGTCTGTGTATATCTTGGGGACTTTGGGAGGCTGGATCCAAAAGACTTCTATGAAGGGAGGAGCGGCCATATTGCTCTTCTTAGCACTTGTCCCAATTGCCAACTCTCATTCTGTCACAGAACATACCAGACACTCTTTACCATCCTTCCTCCATGAGAAAAAAATGAAGCCAAGGGCAGCTGACTAGTTAGCATAGAAAGCCATAGCAGTATTTGAAATTACTATGTAAGGGCTGTTTTCTGAAGTGAACAGTTCAGTTATTAAAGAAGTCTTTATTCAGCTCCTGCCCAAGCGCTATGCTGGGGAGACAACCCCTCCTTTCAAGGAGCTTACAATCTAATGGGAGATCAAATCCAGAGTGACAGGGACAGTGACTTTGTGGGGGCACACAGGACACTACGAAAGCAAGTAGAGGATTTGGCCCATGTTTGAGTGTTTAGTTCATCACCTCTGCCTGGAATGTTGACATGTCATTTTTCAGACAACATATATGTGAGTGCGCTTGGGAGCAAAAGCTTAAAAGGCATTTTGAAGATCCTGCTGCTGAAGGATCTGTTTGGTGTTGGGCCCATGCCACTGACCTGCCAGCCCTCCCATGTCACTCATTCTGTCTCTTAATTACGGTTGCCCCTTAGGTGGTCTTTATGATGATCACTGTGTAGCTCTTTCTCAGCTGAGGGGTTTGAAATTCTGGTGACCTCAGGGGCCGGAAGCTGTAATTCCTTGAAGGCACTGGTGTAGCTGTCTCCAATTTTTTTCTTTTTTAAGACAGAGTCTCACCCTTGCCAGGCTGGAGTGCAATGGTGCAATCTCAGCTCACTGCAACCTCCACCTCCCAGGTTTAAGTGATGTGTCAGCCTCCCAAGTAGCTGGGACTACGGGCATGTGCCACCATGCTCAGCTAATTTTTTTCGTATTTTTATTAGAGATGGGGTTTCACCATATTGGCCCAGCTGGTCTGGAACTCTTGACCTCATGATCTGCCCATCTTGACTTCCCAAAGTGCTGGGATTACAGGCATGAGCCACTGTGTCTGGCTATCTCCAAATTTTAAAATGTTATTTTAAGTTTTAAAAGAATCATGGCCAGGTGTGGTGGCTCATGCCTATAATCCTAGCACTTTGGGAGGCCAAGGCGGGCAGACCACTTGAAGTCAGGAGTTTTAGACCACTTGGCCTACATGGTGAAACCTCATCTCTACTAAAAATACAAAAATTAGCCAGGCATGGTTGTAGGTGCCTGTAATCCCAGGTACTTAGGAGGCTGAGGCAGGAGAATTGCTTGAATCCAAGAAACAGAAATTATAGTGAGTTGAGATCATGCCACTGCACTCCAGCCTGGACGACAATGCAAGAGTCTGTCTCAAGAAAAAAAAAGAATCATGGCCAAGCGTGGTGACTCATGCCTGTAAGCTCTTTGAGAGGCCAAGGCAGGTGGATAACTTGTGGTCAGGAGTTCAAGACCAGCCTGGCCAACATGGTGAAACCCTGGCTCTACTAAAGATAACAAAAACTGGCCTGGTGTGCTGGCATTTCTCTGTAGTCCCAGCTACTTGGGAGGCTAATTTTTTTCGTATTTTTATTAGAGATGGGGTTTCACCATATTGGCCCAGCTGGTCTGGAACTCTTGACCTCATGATCCGCCCATCTTGACTTCCCAAAGTGCTGGGATTACAGGCATGAGCCACCGTGTCTGGCTATCTGCACTCCAGCCTGGGCAACAGAGCGAGACTCCATCTCAAAAAAAAAGAATCAGTGCACCCTTAGCATGGTACCAAAATAAATATTTCTACTTAGGATTCATAGCAAATTTACTTTCTTTTAGGTTTATCATCTTGAACTTGGTTTTAAACATAACGAAATTCAACATATGATCACCAAAATCCCAAAAATGTTAACTGCAAATAAAAGGAAACTTACTGAGACGTTTGATTATGTGCACAATGTGATGAGCATTCCCCACCACATCATTGTCAAGTTCCCACAGGTAATGCCACTCACAGCTCTCTCTGTAAGCACTACTATTGCGCTTCATTCGGAACTGCCCTCCAGCTGCATAGTGCTGTGCACTGGGAAGAGTTTACAACTTGCAGGAAATGTACATCTCCTGAGGAGAAATCAGTGATTAATCTGTTTCCCTGGAGTTTCTACATACTCCTAGTTCTGATTGTTGAAATCAGGCAGAACAGATCGAATGTAGTCTCTCTCATGTTTTTCTCCATTTTACTTTGAAATAGATTTCCCTTAAAGTTCCTTTCACTGCTACATATACTTTTTAGTCACATTTTATTTAAATCCATGAATCAATAAGCCATACTGTAATGATCTCCTATCCCAATATAAAACGGTTTCAGTTTGCCATCATGCCAAAGCTGTAATTATATTTTCTAAGGTAATGAAACTTCCTTATTCTTTAGTGAGGGATAGTGTCTGCTGTTCACAAGATCATTAATCTTGAATATTGACTCTGTAAAAGCAGAAACTTTGTCTTACTTATATACTGCCAAATCCCCAGTGTCTAGAACTACACGTGGCACTAAGTAGGCATACAATATTTGTTGAACAAATGAATGATTGCATTTTCTCAAAGTAATCCTTTTTTTCTATTTCCCATATAAATCACCACTCAATATTTATTGGATAAATGAGAAAGTGAATTTTTATTTAAGTGATCCCTCTATTCCGTTCACTAGAACAGGTATGTTCCTGTTTTTGAAAGAAGATGGGTAAAAGAAATATAACCTTGGCTGGGCACAGTGGCTCACGCCTGTAATCCCAGCACTTTGGGAGGCAGAGGCAGGTGGATCACGAGGTCAGGATTTCAACACCAGCCTGGCTTGGTGAAACCCCGTCTTTACTAAAAATACAAAAATTAGCTGGGCATGGTGGTGGGCACCTATAATCCCAGCTACTCGGGAGGCTGAGGCAGAGGCAGATAACTGATTGAACCCGGGAGGTGGAGGTTGCAGTGAGCTGAGATTGCGCCATTGGACTCCAGCCTGGCAAGAGAGCCAGACTCTGTCTCTCAAAAAAAAAAAAGAAAGAAAGAAAGAAAGAAATATGACCTTAACACAACTCTCAGAACTAGATTGCATTTGGTCCAGTTCCTTCACATAGAGCTAGATTTTTTTTGCCCATTATACTTCACTAGGAATGGGCCCTTAATATAGAATTTTCCTATTTTACCAAATGTAAATACACTCATTATAAAAGTGATAGAAACCTACAGTTTTGTGAATTTAGCTCATGAAGTAATTGTGAAATAATCTTCAACAAAAAAGCAATGACAATTTGTTTTTCCCTGGGTTGGTGGGTAATTCAGTGACCACAGGTGATGGTAAGAATATCTGATACTGTCCCCTCCTAGCCCCGGTGGTCGTCATTTTCCCCAGCATATCCCTGAGCATCCATCAGTGCTAGATGCTGGGCACTAAGGATACAGAAGTCAAGCAGACGTGGTCTCTGTTCTTGTGGAAGTTACAATCAAGTGTGGAAGACAGGTTGAAAAATGGAATTGCTTTACATGATGGTAGAGAATCCTAACCAGAGCTCCTACATTGTGATTAATTTAATTTAGAAGTGGTAGAATTACAGAAGTAATAACAGCAATTGAGTACTCACTGTGTGCCAGCTCAATCTTTATTGCTTTATTTGTATTAACACATTTAATTCTCACAACAACTATATGAGGTAGATGCTATTATTATCCCTATTTTACACATAAAGAACTTAAGCTTAAAGAGATGTAAGTAATCTGTCCAAGGTTACCCAAGTAACGAGGTTGGGGCAGAGCCAGGATTAGAACTCCAGCAGTCAGGTTTAAAAACCCAAGCCATTTACTAGGATCTGCAAGAAGTGACATTTGAATTGTCTGCAGAAGAGTGAGTGGTATTTAAAAGATGGAGAGGAGCTTTCCAAGTAGAATAAAATAGAAGCTGACCAGATGCATCAAAATCACTTAAAAAACACAGATTTTAGACACCCCAAACCCTAGCTTCTGAGAAGTTGCGTTATAGAATTATGGCTTCCAAATTGGGATTCTCAGATTACCAGAGTCCAGGAGGAATCATCGGGAAAAACCCAGAAAAATAAAAAGCTTGTAAATGAAATAATACATTAATGGACAGTAAGGCTCTGAAGGGGCCGATACAGACTTTAAATTTTTGGCTGGTGTTTAAAACTCAGTGGCATGGAACTAATTTTCTCATGCAGATAATATTCCTGGTTGGCAGATTAATTTAGGATTAATTAAAAATGGGGAAAGAAGTATAACTTAATAACCATGATTAGTTGAGTCATTTCAAAGAAGACATGGTGGAAGGTAAAGGATAACTAACAAAAGCAGTTTTAGGGTAATGAACTTGAAGAAATCACTAAGCTAAGGAAAGAGGTTATATTTAGAAACCTTGGCTCTCCCCTCCTTTTGTGACTTTCTGAGAAGGCATAGCTGAAGTCCACCCTAGGATTATAGGGGACCAATAATTCTCAGGCTAGGGGTACTTTTCTTGTTTTAATTCCCAGAAATTTAATGTGTCATTAATGGGATGAAATTTTTGTGCCAGTGGCAAAGTGGCCCCTGGTGGCCAACAGCCCTCCCCCTGCACCACCACTCTAGTTTTTAGGAGTTTTTCTTTGAGGCAGATAAGACATATTTTCCCTAGTTACTCTCCCAGAGGTCAAATTCATTTCATTTTGATCCTAGTTAGGGGAAGCAGTGGGATTTAAAAAGAGAGGAGAGGTGTTACAGATTATGAAATCTTATATAATAAATTTTTCTTTTTTTTTCCTTTCACATATGCTAGAGCAATAAATACATTTTTTATATTAACATTGATCTCTGACGTTGGTTCTCAAACTTGGTAGATGTCAGAATCATCTAGAGGGCTTATTAAGACAGATTATTTCTGGGTCCTGCTCTCAAGGTTGCTGATTAAGTAGTTTTGTGGTGAGGCTTGAGGATTTGCTCTTACTTTTTTTGAGGAGTCTCTCTGTTGCCCAGGATGGAGTGCAGTGGCGTGATCTCAGCTCACTGCAACCTCTGTCTCCTAGGTTCAAGCAATTCTCCTGCCTCACTCTCCCAAGTAGCTGGGATTACAGGCATGCACCACCACATCCAGCTAATTTTTGTATTTTTAGTAGAGACGGGGTTTCACCATGTTGGCCAGCCTTGTCTCAAACTCCTGACCTCAGGTGATCTGCCTGACTTGGCCTCCCAAAGTGCTGGGACTACAGGCCTGATTCACCACACCTGGCTGAGGATTTGCCTTTTTAACACATTCTCCTCTGTCTCTGGAGCACTGAATCTTCTTTGCCCACAGTGTAGCCCTTAATTATTTTTTTATTGTTTTGTATGTTGATTTTGAATCCCTTTTTCTAGTTTCTTAACAGAAACTATAGGATTTAAATCTTAGGACATTTATCATACTTACTGAACATGTGGTCAGTACTTTGTATTGGTTAACCTATTAAAATTTTTGCCAAGTAAACTTTTTAATATTTCATCCTTCAGTGTACAGTGTTTTTTAAAAACTTTTTTCTTTTCTAGGTATTTAATACAAGATTGTTTAAAGTCAAGGAAAGACACTTGTTTCTTACCTACTTAGGAAGAGCACAGTATGATCCAGCAAAACCTAACTACATCTCTTTGGACAGATTAGTATCTATTCCTGATGAAATATTTTGTGAAGAGATTGCCAAAGCATCAGTACAAGACTTTGAACAATTCTTAAAAACACTTTAGATTTTTATGTATGTTAAAATGCAGTATTGTAACGTGAATATATATATGAATAAATAGAAATATTTTTAAATGCCTCAGGTCTCAACTGCTACTGGAAACCATTTGATACTGTAAACTTGGGTACATATATTGTGGTAGCTCTTTCTTCAAATTCCTAGTGACTTAATTCTTGTTTGACCTTTTCCTTCTTTCTTAGGAAACACAGCAAGCTCAGAAAAAGGGGGAGAGTTGGTTTACTATAAGTTGGTGCTTTGTCATTCTAGTGAAGATGAAAACAGTGGAAGATTTTTAAAGTGGTTGTGTTATTAAATGGCTTTATTTCCTTTGAAATGTTAGAGTTTCCTGAGCATACTGCATTAGTTATCTAATATCTACTGCTCAGATAATGCTACAAAACACATTTCATTTTGGATTATCTACATTTTTATCTTCTTGAACACAGATATTCACAGTTGGCTAAGAATCAGGAAAAGGAAAGGAGTTTAAAGATTAGGGGCAATGAGATACAGTGAAAGGCTTAACTAGCCTTTGACTTAAAGATTTGACAAGTAGGCCGGGAGCGGTGGTGGCTCACACCTGTAATCCCAGTACTTTGGGAGGCCAAGGTGGGTGGATCACAAGGTCAAGAGATCGAGACCATCCTGGTCAACATGGTGAAACCCCGTCTCTACTAAAAATACAAAAAAATTAGCTGGGCATGGTGGCGCGTGCCTGTAGTCCCAGCTACTCGGGAGGCTGAGGCAGGAGAATTGCTTGAACCCAGGAGGCGGAGGTTGCCATGAGCTGAGATCATGCCATTGCACTCCAGCCTGGGTAACAACAGCAAAACTGTCTAAAAAAAAAAAGATTTGACAGGTAAACAAAGATTTGTTTTCCATTTACCACATATGTTATCTAAGCAAGTGATTTCATCTTGGAGTCTTCGCTTTTTTATTTGTAAAATGAAGTGGGACTTCAAGTGTCTGGCTTATGAACACTAGATTGGGTAGACTGTTAACACTGGCGGCCCCCATGAACCACGGCTCGTATTTGCACTTTTGTATAGTTAGTTAGTCAGTCCTCTGCCATACGGACTCTGGGTCAATGTGATTTGGCCCACAGGACATTTGTCAAGCAGAGGCTTGATAAGAATTTGGATATCAGGGCTTGTCCTCTTGGAACATATTTGCTCTTGGCACTTTAAGCTACTGTGTAGTGAGGTCTGGTTATTCTGCTGGAGAAACTAGGTGGAGAGAAAGATCTGGCCAAACCCCAGCTTTTTCAGCCATGCCAACTGAGCATCAGCCATGCATGAAGAAGTTAACTGGGATGTCCCAGCCTTAGTAGGCACTACACTGAGCAGAACAACCCAGCTGAATTCAGAATTGGGAGAAAGTTGTTTTAAACCACTAATTTTGGGGGTAGTTTGTTGTGCACAGGGTTTTGTGGTGTGATGGGTGCTCTTTAAAAAAACCTCATGAAAAACTAAATTTGTAATTGGTCAGGGCCAGGTATCATGGCCTTCCTGTTAAATATTTTATTCATGCAACAGACATTTGAGTTCCTAGAATACAGTATGTGCTGTCATGGAATTCTCCAATGGATGAGATTAATAAACAGGAAACAACAAAAAATAAGGTAAGCTGGGGACACCATGGAACAATCTTGCCCTCTCTATGGCTCACAACTGCATTTTGCCTTTATGAATAACCCACTGAACCACCGTATTGGGCGGAATAGGCAAGTTTTGTTCATATAATGAACAATCCTAAAGCCTCAAATTACTAAAAACTACAAAAGTTTTTATCTCATGCATGTCTCTTAGGACCACAAAGGCTCTGCTCCACATCGTGTTTAATGATAGAGGTTGATGTATCCTGTCTCTGTCGTTTCTGGAGTGTTGCCAGTCTATGGAAAACAAAAGGAATGTGAAGAATTGCTCTTAAAAAGTTACCACATTTTTCTTGGCCAAAGTATCACATGGCCATGCCTAACTTGAAGAGGGCAGAGAAAGGCAATCTCTAATCCCGTGCTAGGAGGAAAGAAAACCAAAACTAGTTTTTGAATCAACATTAATGACTACCACCAAACAGTCTCTCTAAGAGACACTGAATTCCTTAGGAGCTGGATTTTGTAACAATTTGGGTTTTTTTATCTTTTGATATGTCTTCTCTTGCCACCTTCACCTGTAACCAACAAGCTAAAACTTAAAGGGTAAGGAGGAAGAAACAAGTTTATTGAGCTCCTATCCTCTGCAGGGCAGTTTGCCAATGTACAAATGTATTTCTTCACATCTTTCGGACTTCACTTTGGCTAGTGTAGGATAGAAGAGGTCATTCATCAGTTTTAGTGCTGCATACAGAACTGACTAATAGAAGAAACTGTGGCAGCATGAAGACAGAAGAAAAAGGGGAAAATCAATAGAATTTTAGAGCTGGAATGTGACCAAGGCCATTAAATCTAAGCTTTTGAACTTACAAGATTCTATTCTATATGGTCCCAACTCCGAGCTTAAAACTGAGGGGAAAAAAAGATATCACTGAGTAATGGTAGAAGTGCACTAGTAACTATAAGTCATCCTAGCTCCACCGAATTGTTTTTTGTCCCTAGATGTTTATGCCTAAGACTTTGCATGTTGGGGCTGAGATCTTAAAAGTCAGCAAATACTTCCATTTTGTCTTAAAATTGTGTGCAAATTCTGCAATACATCTTAGATTTAATCTTCAAAAAATCTCTTCTGCTGGTCATGGTGGCTCATGCCTGTAATCCAGCATTTTGGGAGGACAAGGTGGGTGGATCACTTGAGGTCAAGAGTTTGATACTCAGTTTGTTCAGCCTGGTCAACACGGTGAAACGCCATCTCTGCTAAAAATACAAGAATTAGTAGGCATGGTGGCATGTGCACCTGTAGTCCCAGCTGCTCAGGAGGCTGAGGCACAAATAGTTTGAACTCAGGAGACAGAGATTGCAGTGAGCCGAGATTGTGCCATTCAGCCTGACTGACAGAGGCTGAATAACAACAAAAAAAGAGGTGACAAAAACAAACTTCTTTGACCTAACCTTCCGCTAATATAGCTAGATGTAGATCTTCAGCTGGAGAAACCCAAGGCCTGAGAAGCTCGGTGTCTCTCCTGGATTAGTAGTGTAACATATGGCCCTAGAATTAAGTAGCCCCCAAATTTGTGTCTGGATTCTCAGACTCTGGAAGGAGAACCTGGACTCTTCTAGCTGTGTGCTCTTGGACAAGTTACTCAACCTTTCTGAGCCTCAGCTTTCTCCTCTCTACAATGAGATAATTACAGTACTTTCAGAATTAAGTGATAGTGTAGGATGTGAGAGATCACCTCCAACCCTCTTTCCCCTCTTCTCTTATGTGAGCTCTTTGGTTGGATCTAGGAACCAAATTGACACAAGGTAGATTAACAAGAGAAAAGCCTCCAAATTAGTTTTACATGTACACGGAGATCTTCACAAGAGAGTGAAATGGCCAATGCAAGATGCCTTTATACTTTTTAGAAGAGTATACTTTATATGGCAAATCTGAGAAGAAAGGGGATGTGGCTAGGGGCAGTAAATTTCTTGTGGAGTCATTAGGAGAAACGTGTGTGTGGTGGGGTGTCAACTCAGTGGAAGACAAGGGTTACTTCGGAAAGTATATTCAGGTCCAAAGCAGCCCCCAGTTTCCAGTCTCCGGTGATGGGTGATATTTTCTCCCCCTGGTAAGGGACGAGTACTCCAAAGGAGTACTGGAGGAAGCTTTATGGCTTGCTGCATGCAGGAAGAGATGGGTCATCAAACACTTAGTGAAACTACAATTTCTCCAACATTTTCAACTCGAAATAATCAATGTACCAATTCCATATATTTTGGATGGCACATTCATCAGTCCTTCAATAGAAAACTAAATAAGATGATGCCCTTGCTTCCTGCCTGGCACAAAGAGCTCAATTAATACCGCCCACGCTCTCATAGCTATGGACATTAAGTAACAGAACCTAGCCTTAAGCCTCGGTCTCCTAATTCCTGTCCTAGTGTTCTTCCCAACATACCGCAACCAATGCTTCTTAGAACAGAGCACGCCAAATGCCCCGCCCACTCTATTGGCCTCACCCTGGCGGAGATGTACGCCCGCAGGTGCTCACCGACAGCCGTCAGAACTGCGCCTGTGCGAGCGGCCTTCATCGATTCGCGACGCGACGTAACGCGCCTGCGCACTGCGCCCAGCCTGTCCTCTTTGACTTACCCAGAAGGCGACGCTTCGCTTTCTGGTCATAATGGCTGGCCGGCCGGCTGGTAAGTGATTGGCGGGGGGTGGGAGGGGGTCTTCCTTGGCGGGCATAGTCGCGCTACACCTTTTATTTTCGCAGCAGTTCGCTCCGTTTTCTCTCTTCTTTGTAAATGGCCAGGTTTGTCGCGGAAGGGAAAGTGGTGGCTTCAGTTCAGCCGAAAGTACTTGCCTCCCCATTCGTTTGCTGTCCCCAGGCCGGGCTTGCCTGTAGAGTTGGGATATTAACCCGCTGTTTGTGGAGGTGCCCGCGGTGGCTCTGACAGCCCTGGAGTTCCAGCTGCAGGTGTTCGGCATTCCTTCCCGTCGGCCTTAGAAAAGTTCAAGGGCACAAGGGGGTAACTAGTCGATGACTTTGAACCAGAATGAGCTCAGTGCTTTCTGTGACCTAATCGCTCTGTCGTGTGCATTGGCTGAATAAATTCTCCTGCCAGTGCGATGAGGGAGATATTAATTTCCTTTCTACGCTGATGAGATAACTGAGGCAACATAACCCAAGGAAGTAGAATTAGAAACTTCATTGCACCCCTCGCGCTTCTCAAATTGCGAATTAGAGGCTGTTGAGCAGGGGATACAAGCAACGCTTCAGGTTAACCTTGGATTATCTGGAACGTCAGCTTAATCAGTAGATTTGGAGAAATTTACTTATTGGAGGTTCAAATGCATTTATTGTGGAATAGAATGCAGATATTACTGGAATACTTAAAACAAAGTGAACCTTAAGTTGGGTTTTCCCTGGGTTTTTTGTTTTTGTTTTTGTTTTTGCTAATCTCTGCCCACTGGCGGTACAAATTAGAGCAGTTTTTAAAAAAATACTGATCTTTTCCTCCCCTTCTCCAGCACCTGTGAAGCTGTTAGGAAACAGCAAGTTGCCAGAAAAATCCGTTAACCTAATTGGCGTTGAGCTTTTTAGGGATGGGGGGAGACTTTTTAGTAATTATTTTATGAATTTGGCAGCTATTGTGGGAGTCTTACTAAATTCAAAACACTGCTTCTGTGCTGTGTTTGGGAACCATATAGACCAGATCTCAACTCCCATTAGCTAACTCTTCTGACCTTTGGTGGGATCACTTCTGTAAGCCTCCTTCCCCTTCTGTAATAACAGACATGTAAATAAATCAGCTAATGTTGGTAAAGCAAATAGGAAAGTGCTTGGCACACAGTAAGTGCTTAGTGAATATTAATTATTATCATAGTCACTGGTAGATGTTTAAAAATAATCTGTCTTCCAGCCAGGCGTGGTAGCTCACACCTGTAATCCCAGCACTTTGGGAGATCGAGGCAGGTGGATCACGAGGTCAGGAGTTCGAGACCAGCCTGGCCAGTCTGGTGAAACCCCATCTCTACTGAAAATACAAAAATTAGTTAGGCGTGGTGCGGGCACCGATAGTCTCAGCTACTCAGGAGGCTGAGGCTAGAGAATCGCTTGAACCTGGGAGGCGGAGCTTGAGTCAAGATCACTCCACTGCACTCCAGCCTGGGTGACAGAGTGAAACTCCATCTCAAAATAATAACAATAATAATAATCTGTCTTCCACAAGTATGTCTGTAGATTGTTGACTCATACTTACTTTTCTAGCAGCAGTTTTATACATGACTCTTAATTTCCAAGGAGATTTACTGAAGCCATGTAATCCGTAGTGCACTGAGTGTGCAGGCAAGGACAGTTGAGTGAGAGTTTGCTTTCCTTTTTGGTAAGGGGCTAGCCCTAGACAAAATTTTAAAAGAAAATTATACTTGTTCTACCTCCCCCTTTCTTTTTTTTTTTTTCTTTTTTTTTTTAATTTTTTATTGGATTATAGGTTTTGGGGTACATGAGCAGAGCATGCAAGACAGTTGCGTAGGTACACACATGGCAGTGTGCTTTCTTTTCTTCTCCCCTTCACCCACATTTGGCATTTCTCCCCAGCTACCTCCCCCTTTCTAAAATGTCTCTCCTAAAATGTCAGGTACTGTCATGCTGTCCTTGGACCCTGCTGGGTTACTTCATCAGGCTCATCCCTGCTCCCCAAAGAGATTTAAAATTATTTATTTCTCCTCATCCGTTTTCAGTATCCATTCCCTTGGGGAGAACTTAGCTGCTTAAGAGGAGGAAGATGGACTTCTTTTACTAATCCACATTAATGTTTAAATGACTAATGGTATCAAAATTCTCCCCAAAATACATAAATGTTTAGAGAGTGTGGCCAAGTGAAATAACTAATGTTGAGTAAAAATTTTAGAGGATGGGGGTCATTTAGGCCTGCCAGCCTCTGCTGAAATCTCAGTCTCTTTTCATACAACTCCAACTCCTTTGAAATGGAAAGCTTTACAATTATTTCCGGTGATCTATTTATGAAACTACAAATAATAGAAACATCCAAGTCCTATTCCTATCTCCCACCCCTTCAATTTTGAAGGTAATGGGGCTATAAGAGGGCACGTGATGTACCTGTAGATCTTTTGTACATTCAGTGTTTGAGTTTAACCTTTTCTTCCATGACTTGCCACCTAATTTTTTTTCCTGCAGCCACTTTTGTTCATAAGTAAAATAAGCATTTTTTTTATCAGCAGTGTATAGAGTGTAAACTTTTTTCTTTTAAATCAAATTCTTTTTTAATTAAATTCTTCCTATATAGAGTATATACATTTAAAAGGAAATTTCTATGTTTGTATTAGCAAGATAACTATGAGTACTGGTTGCTTCCCTATCAAAGTGTTCATATAGTTTAATTCTGGCAACTAACAGTGTGACAATGATCAGTTTCAGCATCAAGCAGGTTGCTGGAGATTATGCGAAAATGGTATTACAATGCTGCAGGATTCAATAAACTGGGTAAGCAGCTGTACTTTCTTTTCTGTTTTCTTTTTTTTCTTTTTCTGAGAGCATTGCTTTTACAAGTGTTACTGTGGTTCCAAAAAAATATTTCAGTTCTTATATATATCAGAAGATTTTAAAATTAAATCACATTGTATTATGTTAAATCCAGTTCCTGTTAAAAATTTTTTTGAGAGGAGAGGGATGAAAGCCTCTAAAATGTTTGACTTGTTAATGATTTAAGTAAGCAGCAAGACATTTTCCTTATAAACCTCCCCTCCCAACTCTTCCACTTAAAATTTTAAGTTATATAAACATTGAAAGTAGAGATTTTTCGAATTTTAAAATTTTCTCACATCCATGCAATCATATGATTCCTAAACTTTTATTAGAACTTTATAATTTGCCATGAACTTCATCTTTTATTATTGAAGCCTCTGGAAAGTGTAAGCAAAAGTTGCAGGTTCCTTAGTATACTATCATTTTAAGATTCTTTAATACCTTGAGCTCAGATTTAAACTGTAAGAAGTAGAGATGTGGTTTATTAATGTGTGTTTAAGAGCAAAGTAAACGTTTAAAATATTTTTTAAATGGTTTAGATAAAATGTGAATTTTGTGGCATTGGATTTTAAGAGGCTCATATATTGTTTCCATAGTCTAGTTCAAGAAATAACCAGTTATGTCAAGTATTAACCCATTACTTTTAACGGCTACCGCAATTACTTTTGCACCAACCTAATATTGTATGAAGTACATTGAATTTCCATTGAACCTAGTGATTTGAATTCAATAGGTCACCAAAAGTTGTAAGTTATAAGTCATAAAGATATTTTACTAATTTAAAAAAACGTGATATTTGAGATGCATGTGCAATCTAACTTTTGTCATCTATCATAGGGTTACTGCGAGATGACACAATATATGAGGATGAAGATGTAAAGGAAGCCATAAGAAGGCTTCCTGAGAACCTTTATAATGACAGGATGTTTCGCATTAAGAGGGCACTGGACCTGTCCATGAAGCATCAGATCCTGCCTAAAGAGCAGTGGACCAAATACGAAGAGGTAGAATAGCTTTTATCTACTTGACAATGTTGGTCATTACGGATGGAGTTTTAGAAACAAGGGAAACATGTTCATTTGCGTAGTATTAGAATTCTGTGAGTCATGTCAAATAAGTATCCTATCAACAGGCTGGTGAGGTTAATGGAGTAAGTGTTATCTCCATTTTAGAAGAAAACCACATTGAGTCTTATAGGTGAAATGATTCTTCTGAAATCACTAAGCAAGTCTCTAATATAGAGAGCCAGCACTAAAATCCAGGTCTGTTGCCTCCCAGGACATTGTTGTTCTACCTCTGCACTCTGTTTCCTACTTAGATGAAAAGATCAGCCCATTGAGGTGCCCTCTAGATCCCATAAAGAGCTTCTGTGAAGCAAACCCTTACCCCTTGAACTGCGTTGAAACGAGGCAAAGGCCTGTAGACACACATTTCTTTTTCTTCCCGAAAAGACTTCCCTCTCATAACCTAGCAAAGCAGCTTACCACAGTATCACCACAGATTTGACATTTTAAAAAGCAGACAGTTCTTAGCTTGAGAATATATTTTCTAAAGTTGGAAATTAAAAAGTAATATTTTTTTCTTGTTGTTGTTATCTAAGACCTGTTTGAGTGTTTGGGATATATCAGGATGGTAACATAGCATATTTTATTCATTCTTTAGGAAAATTACTACCTTGAACCATATCTGAAAGAGGTTATTCGGGAAAGAAAAGAAAGAGAAGAATGGGAAAAGAAGTAATCGTAGTTGAAGTCTATGGATGCAGCTGTTATGAAGATGGTTAAACTTGAAACAAACAATTTTAAGAATTGTTTGGTCTGCAGATGTTTTACTTTAAATAAATGTCTATTGTAATCGCTGGAGTTTTTAAATTCTAAACCTTCTACTGAATAACTACTGAATCCATTAGTTATTCAAAATTTTTTCCAAACTTGGAAGATATTTTTAGTCATGTTTAACTGCTTCCTGGAGCTCAGAGGCCACTTTATCAGTTTTCCTCACTGGTTGGATATCCTATCAGTTTATGGAAGGATGTAACTTGTGTAAGTTACATCCTTATGGAAGTTACTGAATAAAAGAAGGGGGTATGCACCCCCTAGTTTGCCAGGATTGAGAAGCAGCCTCTTCACTGCTATCCAAATAGATTTGATTTTGCATCCTATCATTTATAAAGAAATTACATATGCACCCCAACACAGGCATACTTACGTGATATATACACTCCTGTGCTAACATGTAGACTAGAAAACAAAAAGTAGATGTTAGAAAAATAGAAGTACAAAGACAAATCTTACTTGTCCCCATATCCTAGAGACTTTTCGACTTTGGAAATGATTGTTATAAAGAATAAGGGTTGCATACTAATCAGTTAAATGTTTTAAGATTATAGGATAATTTTTAAAAATATAAATTAGAGCCATTGGCTGGGTGTGGTGGTTCACGCCTGTAATTACAGCACTTTGGGAGGCCAAGGCAGGTGGATCACCTGAGGTCAGGAGTTCAAAACCAGCCTGCCCAGCATAGTGAAACCCAGTCTCTACTAAAAACACAAAAATTAGCCAGGTGTCGTGGCAGATGCCTGTAATCCCAGCTACTTGGGAGGCTGAGGCAGGAGAATTGCTTGACTCTAGGAGTCAGAGGTTGCAATGAGCTGAGATTACGCCACTGCACTCCAGCCTGAGTGACAAAGTAAGACTATCTCAAATTGAAAAAAAAAAAAAAAACAATTAGAATTACTTAATGATGTCATCATTTCCACTCCTAAATTCTGAAATGCTTTCTTTGGTGGAGGTGAGTGTGGAGCCAGAGCTAGTAGAGAGGGAACAGCAGGGCCTGCAGCCTCCCTGGTGCTCCACTACAAGCCACTGCTGTGTGTGGCAGGAATGCCTTACCTCAAATAACAAAACAGTATGAAAAACAAATTTGTCTTACATTTAAAATTTGTAAAGCAATGAGACCTGTATCATAAAGAGCGTCTTTAAATTTTTGCTAAAATATTAGCCTCTTAAGTTCCCTAGGAGCCCTCACCTTTTTTTTTTCTATTCAGATTATTTTTTTAAACATATCCTGAAATCACGTCAGTTTTGTCTAGTTCAAGACAACTAGATCACTTGATTATGGTTTTGCTCAGATCACATTGTGACAAGGTTTTAGTGTAGTCCTATTTGGCAGAAGAGGCCAAGAAGATGGACTGTCTAGAACCCCCTTTAAAAGCATTTGTCTATTCAGAAAGTTGTCTTGAGTAGATCTCTCCAAAGGCTCTTTTAATTGTGATTTAAGATCACTTTTGCAGGACTCTGGTCTATTGGTTGAGACATCTACTGTGCACAATTACAAGGAGAGTAGAACTGAGGCATTTCAAAGAGCATTATAAAGGTGTGTAGGGAGATGGGTGGATGGAGGGAGGCTGGGCTCTGACACTAGAAACCATGGCTATGAATGTTGTTAATGTTGAAAGCAAGCCTAAGGGCACTGCTGAAGGACGGGGGAACAAATAGAACTGACCAAGACAGATATAACAGGAACTCCCAGGCTATCCACCTGTTCAAGGTAGAAAGTGTGGTATTACCCAGGGCAACCTCTGATTTTCTGAGAGTCTTTCCTAAAGCCAAAGTGTATGCGTATTCTACGTTACCAGATTACTTCATTCTTCTAAATGAGAACAAGTATGCAAAAGTTCTTTGAACACTGTATCAATGTTTTCGTGTTCATTATAAATTATGGTTATCATCCTGCTTGTTACGAAGACTAAGAAAGTAGAGCTAGTATTTGGCTCACATAGGTGAATGGGAGAGAATTTGTGAATTCATCGGTAAAGTCCTTTCATTTGAAAGAGAGGGACTTTCTATTATCAAAAGCTGTCCTGTTTGAAAATTTACCAGTAGAGTGTCTGAAACACACAGGCTTGTCATCCTGTAGAGAATGGTAGAGTGATTCAGAGCTAATTCTGGGTTAGACTGCACAGGTCTGAATCTATTTGCTCACTGTGTAGCTTTAGGAATACAATTTAACATCTCTCTGCTTCAGTTTCTTTGGCCCTGAGATAGAGCTAATGATACAAACCTACTTTACATAGTTGTGAAAATTAACTGACTATATGTTAAGCACTAACAGTTTCTGGCACACATTATGCATGATGTAAATTATGTGACGAGAAGGGAGAAAAAAATAACTCGGGAAAATGCTGAATATCATCAAAGTCTAATAGCTAACCAGTAGCTAAAGTCTAAGGTCCTCTCTTTTTCTTCTATGTGGCACACTTGTTGCTGGTCCATCTACTCCCCTTGGATGTCTCCTTGAATGAAGTACCTGCTGGAGATGAGAAGAGTGGAATGAGCATGACAGGTTTTATTAGGATGTAGCTAAGACTTGAGTTATCTCCCTGTTTTGCATTTTGGATTGGTGACGTTTTTAAACTGCCAACTTTTTGAATCCTGCTCATTTGCTTTGTACAGTTTAAAAGATGTGATATCTTTTATTGTTTAAGGTTTGAGATTGGTTTTGAATATATGGTTTTCCTACATCTTGAAGAAGGATATGTTTGTTTACTCTGAAGTGGTCTATGTTCTGTTTTTCCATTTTACGATACTTTGCAAAAAAACAGATGGCTGGCGTGTGTTCACTGTTGTAGTGCACTACCTAGTATCACCTAGTATCAGCCTTCCTGTTGTAAAGGTGTAGGAAGCAGCATAAGGGATGTTGAGGCTTCAGACCCCCAATTGCCAGCTTTGGTCCTAGTTCCAGATTGCATGGAAATATTTGGTAACATTCCTGCGCTGAGTTATTGTGGTCTAAATATTTACGTGATGCTCTACAAGTGGTACCAAAATGTTAGTGATGGAATCTTCACTAACAGCACCTTTTCTTGTTTTTAAATTTTAGAATTCTAATAAATCCAAAGTGTAGATTTTTGTAATGATTTCATTTAGCTATTTACTTTAAGGATTCCCTTTTAAAGCATTAATTAACTGCACTAATTTTGACTTACGAAAAGATTCAGCAATAATAAAAACTGGGCCAAAGCCCAAAGCAATAATCCTTCCAAATTCACAAACAGGATTGAGTTTTAAAAATATGGGAGTTTCAAAAATATGGGGATGGATTTAAATAATTTAAAAATAATAACATATGGGCATCCTGAGTTTTAAAGTAAGTCTTTCGAAAATAACCAAAGTACTTGGAATTAAAAAGTTAGGTGAACATAAAAATTGTCGTAACCAAATCCTTGACAGCTTGATGGATGAAGAGCAGATGGGATTACACTGTATGGGAAGAGGCATGGATTTTAGGAAGGGCAGCAGCCTCAGAGAGGGATAGTTAGAAGGTGAACAAGACACATTGCTCTTTGGAAAACAAGGAAAGTCCCTTTATGAGAACAAGGCATGGCATTCTGCCACAAGGGGGCGATGCACTGTAACTTTACAACACACTTAGGGTACATCACACCAGCACTGGAAGATTTCTCCATTCTGCACTCCACCAACTCCCTCCCCTCTTTCATTTTTCAGGATGACAACACTTTAGAGGTTTACGGCCATCGGGAGAATTTACTACTAAGCTATATACTGATGTAATGAAATCTAATATATGTTGTGCAATGAATTATGAGATGTTATTTAGTTTCAGTATTTTATTACTTCAATCAGTTATGACCATATTTCCTTTTATATGATTGCTCATTCTTTAAACATACCAGATGACTGTATAAGGAACACCTAATAAAGTCTGTAGATGTTAAAATATTTTAAGTGTTTTAATTTATATGCCATAATTTGTTTAAATTCTGGTTATACTGGTGTTCATATTAAAAGCCATAACATGTTAGAATCTGAGATCTCAGATTGGATAGTGCCTCTGAGTTATATTTTGCTAAGAAATTTTATCATGCTAGCAATTGAGCAGGGAAGAACTGAATTGTTACAAGGTGGTTAATTTTTAGCATAGATGTCAGAAAGCCTGTTACTATTCCAGAGGCTTATGATAAACTATTTAAATTGTCATTCTGGATTCTGATTGTATCTCCTGCAGGGAAAGAGTGGATTATTTATTGAACTTTTTATTTTAATACATGTGCCTATTTTTGCCTAAATGTAAAAATGTAATTTTAAAATAAACCCTTAGAAACTTCTGGTAACATTATCCAGTTGAAGCATTGTTCTGTTAGTATTCTAAATATTTTAAGAAAATTTTATACATATCTATGACAATTGTATTCACAAGCCAAACCAAAAAAAAGGATAATTATTTGTTTTACAAAGGAGTCAGCTTACAGTTTCTCTCTTATGCATACATTTAAAATGTGGTTTGCCACTAAACTGGAAACATTGATCTGAGGCCAATGATTTAGGCAAGTCATTGAAGATTGGCTTCCTCAGCTATAAAGTGAAAGGCTTTCACTAAAAACTCTTTAAGACTTATTTCGGTACCAAAACATTCTGAGTCTGTGATTCAACTTATGCATGTTATTGTTGGGATGAACTAATACTGATGGAACACTAGCTTTGTGCGGGGCACTGTTCATATGTTGTCTCTTTTACTCCTCCCTGCAACCTCTGGCATGGCTACTATTATGCCCATTGTATGGAAGAAGAAATCGGGCTTTGAAATTCCATTTTATGTTTGTTCATTGTATAGTTTTGCAGGTTTTTAAAAATAATTGGTGTTATGAGTTTATGTTGCAGGCTAGGTCGAAGCTAGGTAGAAGACAGCAGCCCCATCACTGTTGAAATTTGGGGCTAGATAATTCTTTGTAATGGGGGCTTCCTCTGTACATTGTAGGATATTTAGCAGCATCTCTGGCTTCTACACAGCAGACACCAGTAGCACCTCCTGCCTCCAATTGTAACAATCAAAAA